ACAATAATATTGTGATTACTGATCACAATAAGTGTAAATAGAATAAACTCTGATTTTTCAGATTGGATTAAAAAGAAATCTGCCTCTATGCTAGAGGTACAGGTAACACAAAATGATCCAGAATAGTTGAAAGTAAAGAGATGAAAAAGATATACGGCACAAATACCAACCAAAAGGAAAGTGATCTTGCATTCTTAACATCAGATAAAATAGACTTTGAAAGAAAAAAACATTTTCAGAGATAAAGTGGGTCCTTAATGATAAAAGAATATCTGGTATTTTCTATTGGATTAGACTTTTTAAAATGTTATTCACAACCCACTAAAGTGAACTTACTACTCGCTAAAGTGCTGAACCAACTGTTTAAAAAATATTTTTCTAGGAGCGCCTGGTTGGCTCAGTAGGTTGAGTATCCAACTCTTGATTTCGGCTCTGGTCATGATCCCAGGGTTGTGGGATTGAGCTCCACATCAGGCTCCACACTTAGTGTGGAACCTGCTTAATATTCTCTCTCTCTCTCTCTCTCTCTCTCTCTCTCTCTCTTTCTTCCTCTGCCCCCTCCCCTGCTTGCACGCTCTCTCTCTTAAAAAGTTAAAAAAGTATATATTTCTCTAGAACACATTTCTGCTCCTCCCTGAAAGCCCCCAGCAACTTCTAAGAGGCATACTATCTTAGTATGGATGAATGTCTGGGACACTTCCACAATACCAGGAAATATGTTATATCTACAGGTTTTTATAATTTGTTCCTAAAAACAATATGGAACACTCATAACTACCAGAATGAGAAACCAACTTTTGTTTCATTTTGCCAAAGATCTGAGAAGAAATAAAGAAGAAATGAAGAAATGAAGCTTACTTGCAGAGAGAAAATGGAACGTATGAGAGAGTTGGGAACTGTGAATATTTCATTAGGTATTTGCAAGAGAATTTGCAAACATATATTTCCTTCTTGTTGAAATCCACTTTTCCTGGGTATAAAATCCTTCAGTATTATCGTTAGTACATCAAGTCATGGCAAGGATGTGGTAAGGACCTTCTGAGGTGTCTCACACCCAGTTGGAGGCTGACTCTTGCCAACACGACTGAAGTGCTGACCGTTGTGTTGTTTCTCCAGCATCTTTCCAGGAACTGTACTATACTGAAAGTTTCTTCCTCCAAAGCAACTAGAAAAACCCCAAGGAATCCTCCAGAGAAAATAGGCGTTGCTATGTTATTGTCTGTTTTGCCAAGAAGCAAAGAAAACAACTGAGCTAAGAGGAATTCAGAAGTATGAAGGGTAATTTCCAAGTCCCAGCCATAGGGCCCCTCTCTTCTTCCCTGCCTGCAGTCACCATCCTACGGCCCTGATATCTCTCTACTGGTTGAGTAATGCCTACAGTTATATAATTGTAAGATCATTTATGTATTCAATAAACTGTAAGCCCTTGGGAAGAGACCTCACTTCCAATTTTATGAATCACTGGCTCTTCAGCCAGTTGGCTCCGTGTCCTACCAGCGGTTGTAGGATGCAACCCCAGAGCTGAACTCAGATTATTCTTACTACTTTATTAGTTGATGTAAGAAATTGCTAAAACAGGGAGGGCTTACTATGGACCAGACAATATCTCATCTTGTTTTCACACCAGTGCAATGAAGGAAATATGTATACTACCTCCATTTTACAGGAGAGGAAATCAAGGCTCAGACAGTTTAAGTAACTTGCTCATAGGTTCCTCAGCTTGTCATTTGCAGAGCTGAGATTCAACTTCAGTCTTTCCGATAGAGAGTTGGATTTCTTAACCAATATGGTGTCCTGTTTTGGCTTTCATCAGAGTAATAGACAATTAGGAGAATTTGATTGGTTCATGGGCATTTTTTTTTTTTTTAAATTCACTTCCACTTAATGGAGTTTTCTTTCTTGGCTTACCCAAAGTCAAGTACACAATAATGTGTGTATTACTCGGTGTGCGTATCTTGGAAGAGCAGATGGACTCCATGTGGTAATTTAAACAAGTAAAAGTAGGAAGCCACTCGTAAAGGAGACTTCTTTTTTTAAAAGCAATGAAACTGTTGATGTGTTAAACATTACACTGCACTCTACGGTATTTGCTGATTGGCACAGCCACTGCCATTTAAATTGATTCCGTAATCATGACTATAATGACCGGGATTAGCCCTGTTCAATGGGTGCATGCTTTCCCCAGGGCTCACAAAAGCCTTCTCTGGGGATCCAGGCTTTCCTGGTAATGAGAAGTTAACTAACAAGGCTGCCATGCTCCACTTTAGTAAATAGCAGTCCTTGCTTTCCAAATGAAGGAAATCAAGAAAAACATGAAGGGTCTCTGGCCAGACAGAGGAAAATCACCCTAAACTGGTCAGCAGAATCCTGAGAACATCTGTAGCCTTCTGGAATGATGAAGGAAATGGTGTTTCTGTTTGTTAAATATTAAGGTAATTGAGAGTTCAGGGGATTGTCGGGGAAATTTATCAGTTATTCTTAAGTTAAAGAACTCGTGTTTGCCTCTCAGCAGCCTGTTAATTTAAAATTTAAACACTTGTATTCCTAAAACAATATATGCTCTTTGTAAAGGTCCCAAACAATCCAATCCAGAAAAATATGGAGTAAAAAGCTAAAGCTCCCTCCCCCATTTTACTTCCTTCCTAGAGGAACCCACACTCTGTGTCTTCTTCCAAACTATACGAATACATCAGTTATACAGAAAGAATTTGACTACAATAAAATCTAGTCAACTTGCTGATTATAATTAGTGTTAACCTTTGTTTAGTGGTTCAGAAGATCTTTCATCTTTATTAGCATTATGAGTATTAGTTGTCATGGTGCAGAAATGTGGGGGTTTCTGCGTGCTTGGATCCAGATAAACAGAAGTTCCTGGAAAAGATGTGGATAACCTCCTTTTTAGCTGCCCATGAGGGTTTGAGTTTGCTTAGCCTCAGAACAGAGATGTTGAAGGTACCTAATCTTTTGAACATAAGACTTTAGGAAACACTAAAAACATTTGTTTGTAATTTAAAAGATTTGGGGAATTACTTTATGTTCTATGACATTAATAAAGGGCCATTTTACTCTCTGAAATTTGCATAACTTTATGCTGGTATATGTGTATACATTATATACAAAGTACTATACATACATGTGTACACAAGATATACATATAAAGTATTTGCATACATAGTACTTTGTATATATAATTTTAAAAATATACATTTATAGATAATTTGTATATTTTTTTTTTCTTTAAACAAGAGTGGCTGCCATTTAGAAGTTCAGAAGAAAACAGTCTTTTTTATCTTGGGAAAAAAAATCACTTGAGTAGTTTTCTTAAGATAACTAAGGCACCCCATGCTCTGAGAAATGAAGTAATAGGAAGGACTTTATTTTTCTTGAGTTTTTTAAGGCCATTTCTCCAAATGCCTCGTGGTGAGTAGTGCTCTGATGTGCATGGGATCAGTCTGCATAAAGAACCAAGGATCTTTCTGGAAGGGAAGGGACTGAGATCATCCTGACCCCAACATTGCTCCCTAAGGTTCCTAGTTCTAAAAAGCCCTGTGAGGCTTCTAGAGGACAACAGGACCCTTTGGAAACTCATCCAGGAAGGCTATATCCCAATGACCAGAGCAGGAAGTTTCAAGATCCAGTGTTTGTTTGAAAAAGCAGGAGGGTGGGCCCTGGCTTTGTGACATGATCACAGTAAGGCAGAACTGGACCACCATGACACTCTACCCACTCTCTCTCCATGACTAACTCTAGTTTATGCTTCAAAACTCACTCCAGGAGTCATCTCCTCCATGACGTGTTTCCTGACTGCTCCAGGCTGAGTTCAGTTCCCCTTCTGTATTCCCTTGTACTCACTGATATCCTTATTCTTACCACACCTTGGTGATCTTATTCCTGTACTCTATGTCTCCTACTAGATTCTCAGCCCCTCAAGAGCAGCTGGAAATCTCAAAACCATTTCCTAGATCTTTGACTCAGCAAGCTGCTTCAATTGAGTTTCCTCATCCGTAAAATGGGCATAATCATTCTTGCCTCATTGGGTTGTTTTGATGGTTACGTCTTGTAAAAGACTTAAACAATGCCTGGGACCTAAGTGCTCAATAAATATGAGCTACAGAATAATAAAACTAAAACTTAATTAAAATTATCATCAGTAATCTGTTTATTGCCAAGGTATAGCACAAAGCCCAGTCTGCAGTAGATGCTTAATCAATTGGTATTAAACTAATACATTGACTGTGATTCCTCTAGAACTGATATACTGGCCACCAGTCGTGTGTTATTATTGAGCACTTGGAATGTGTTTAGCCCACATTGGGCTGTGATGTCACTGTAAAATACACACTAGATGTTGAAGACTGTATGGAAAATGGAGAGTAAAATATTTCATAAATGATTTTTGTATTGATTACATGTTGAAATAATATTTTAGATCTTTGAGGTTAAATAAAATATATTCTTTTTTTAAGTTTATTTATTTTGGGAGAGACAGGGAGTGTGAGTCGGGGAGAGGCAGAGAGAGAGGGAGAGAGAATCCCAAGCAGGCTCTGCCACTGTCAGCGCAGAGCCCAACATGGGGCTCGAACCCACGAATGGTGAGATTATGACCTGAGCTGAAATCAAGAGTTGGACGCTTAACCTGAGCCACCCAGATGCCCCAAAATAAAATATGTTCTTAAAAATAATCTCACTAACTTACTTTTACTTTTTAAAATGGAACTGCAAGGAAATGTAAAATTTCACATGAGGCTACTTTGTATTTCTGCTGAAGAGCACAGATCTAGAATGTTCTCAACCTACCATTAGTATAGCAAATCTTCACACGTCATTTACACTCAAATACTACATAAGCTGTAGGAGTTTAGATAAATCCTTTAAAACACTGATTCACTTAGAACCTAAAGCATATCCAGTTGGTTTGTAAAGGATTTCCCATGCAGAGTTAACAAGCTAATGTATAGAAGTTGTAGGAAAGAAACTAAAGCTTTGTGGGCATTTTCCAGGTTCGGTGTGATCCTGAGATTCAAGAATTGCGTCAGTGGCAGAAGAAACTGCGTGAAGACAACCACATTCACCAGCGAGTCAAGATTTTCTGGGCCAAACAAGAACAGAAAGGTTAGTTGATTCACAGTCCTTAGTTTATTTAGGAAAAACCTGAGTCTTAGCCCAGACTCAGAAAGAAGCCCTCTGGGTTCTTATGGGGTCCTTGTGTCTGCAGGGAACTCAGTCTGTGTTGGGGGGAGGTGGCTGCATATTAAGATTCTGCTCTAGAATGCCAGAGGTGATGTGATATAATTTATATGGCTATTTGCCTCACTCAGGGACAAATTCAGGGTCATCTTGTGTCTGCATGTCTTTTTTGTTCAAGCTATAAGACATCAAGGATAACCCCTCATTTTGGAAATACAGTGTCCATCGGTGTGATGGGTGGCTTTTTTTTTTTTTTAAGTTGTTGATTGTGTGTCTGAACTGAAATGATGCTTTATGCTTGTTCTCTCCCCTTTTGTGAGAAATTACACACACACATTTGTGCGCGCGCGTGCACACACACATACACACAAAGAACAAAGAATAGCAGCACCATTTCATCCTATTTACTTTCCACATTTTTTGTTATAAAACTTTAATTTACTATTTATTTACAATAGGAAAATTAGAAAAACAACAACCAAGGGGCACCTGGCTGGCCCAGTCAGTAAAGTCTGTGACTCTTAATCTCGGTTGAGGTTGAGTGCAAGCCCCATGTGGGTCTAGAATTGACTTAATGTATTTTTATCAAAATATTTTTTTATTTTTTATTATTTTTATTATACATTATATATATATTTTTTATTTTAAAGAAAGTAAAAAAAACAACAGCCAAAACAGGGAAAAAAACAGAAATCCCACCACTGTTAATATTTTGGTGTATATCCTGCTATACTTTTTCTGGTACAAACAGGTACAAATGAGTGTCTATAGATATTTTGTTAAAAATAGGATTTTACATCGTTACAATCTGTCACTGAACATATTCAGAACATCATTCTGGTCAACAACTAAAGAGCAGCATCATGAAGTTTAACAGGTGCATGGTATGGATTTAGTATCATTTATTCAACCAACAACATGGAAGGAGATTTGTGATATATAATCAAGCGGAAAAAATAGCAGAACCGTAAGTTTTCATCCATATATTAAAAATATATACATGGAAACACGGAGACGTCTAAACAGCCTGGAAGAATACATTAATGATACATGGTACCTTTAGAATTTGTACGAGGTAGGGAGAGGTGCACTGTTGGAATCTTTAAAAAAATTTTTTTTTATTTTAGAGAGAGAGAGAGAGAGAGAGAGCATGAGCTAGGGAGAGAGGCAGAGGGAGGGATAGTGAGAGAGAAAGAATCCCAAGCAGGCTGCATGCTCACCGTGGAGCTGAACGTGGGGCTCAATCCCATGACCCTGTGATCATGATCTGAGCCAAAATCAAGAGTCAGATGCTCAATTGACTGAGCCATCTAGACACCCCTGGAACCTTTTAAATAAATACATAGTACTTTACCATTTATGAAAAAATAACCCTACTCACCTCAGCAGGCTACAGGCCATCCATGTTTTGAGTCCTCTCAACTCAACTCCCCATCCAGCCTGTCCCCTGTCACTAGGCTATAGTCCCTCCAGACTTTTCCGTCCTTTCCATATGCCAATACCTCCCTCACCCAGAGGACACTGTACTTTCTTTCTTTTTTTTTTCTGCCAGATAACCCATCCTCAGCTGCTTCTCATCTTCCAGGCCTCCTTGAAATAGTATTTATTGAACACTCTCAACATGGTGGGGTCTAAACAAAAGCTTTCTCTTCTCCCCAGAAACTGTCTTCAATCCTGCCTTCTTGAATCTGTCTTTCCAGTCCCTTCATGGCATATTGGGTGGATTCCATGTCTTTTCTGTATGCTCTAATTTCAGAAAGCCCAGTCTAGTTTAAATTTCAATGTCACATCCCATTGAAATCTTACCCAGCCCCCTCCACCCTTCATCAGTGGGGGTGGGAGTGAGGGAAAGAACTATTAGATCTTTCACACTTCCACACTTTTCTTGTCAGAATCCCTTTCTCCTCTGGTGGGACGGGTGGGAAGGAGGGAGATACAGATCACTGTCTCTTGTGATCCTCTTTTGGCTGCCACTGCTTCTCCGGCTAAGGCTACCATTTGTGTCCTTTGGGCAGGCATCTCCATGCTGACTCTCTGACTCCTGTATTTCATATGCGTTCTTCCTGGGGGGAAACAACAGGTGGCAGAACACCCCTGTGAGGATCTGGATCCGTCTCTGCCTCTTCCACCGCCACCCCAGATCTCACCTCTGCCAGTCCATTCCCAGCCTTTTGCTATTGGGGATCTCCTTACCTAGTGGCCAGCCCTCTTGGTTGAGGCATCAGGAAGATAGTTCAAGTTGCCTCCCAGTGTCCACCTGACTCACTCTCATGGGTGGACATGCAGACCTCTCCGTGGTTCTCCTTCTCTCTGCCCCAGTGTGACTACCCAGGTCACACTGAACCTTCTCAGACAGGCAAGGGGGATGATCTGTATGTCAATCTGCCCTTAAAGCAAATGTTCAACTAAATACTGAGATATCCTCAATTAAAAAAAAAATAATAATGTTTTATTTATTTTTGAGAGAGTGAGAGAGAGACAGAGTGTGAGCAGGAGAGGGGCAGAGAGAGGGAGTCACAGAATCCGAAGCAGGCTCCAGGCTCTGAGCTGTCAGCACAGAGCCCGATGCAGAGCTCAAACTCATGAACCACAAGATCCTGACCTGAGCTGAAGTGAGACGCTTAACCGACTGAGCCACCCAGGCACCCCACCCTCAACCTTTTTGAGGTGTTCTCTTGGCTCTTCCCTTCCCTGGATTAGGGTTTGGCTTGGGGGAAACACCCACTCTTATCTAGCAGAGGAGAAAAAAAGCCCAGCACTTTTTAGACCAGCAATTCTCAATCTTTTTGGACTGTGACTCAGTAAGAAATAGCTTTATATTATAATCTAGTACATGCCCTCCTGTTCTATTGAGGTTTTGTTTTTTATTTTTATTTTTTTAATGCTAGACATGACCAAGTAAATGAATTATATGGCCCACTAATGTGTCTTTACCCATGCTTTGAGATATACTGCGTTGGTCCACTACTCCACAGCTCCTAAATATCTTCTCTCCCTTCCCTTCCTAGAGCCATCTACTTAGGTGGTGGTTGGGCGCCTTCTTCATAGACAATGGTTCTCAATACTGGGTGCACATTTGAATCACCTTGGGAGCTTTCTAAAAATACCAGTGCCATTGACAGAAAATCCTAAAAGTAATGAGCATTCTTAGTGTCCAGATATTGGTTTCTAAGTACACTTTACTCTAAACAGAATTAAGTTTCTTGGAGAAGTGGGGATGCCTGGGTGGCTCGGTCGATTAAGTGTCAGACTCTTGGTTTCAGCTCAGGTCACAATCTCACAGTTTGTGAGTTTGAGCCCCAAGACTGACAGTGGAGAGCCTGCTTGGGATTCTCTCTCTCTCCGTCTCTCTCTGCCCCTCTCCTGCTGGTGCTTTCTCTGTCTCTCAAAATAAATAAACTTAAAAAAAAATTTTCTTGGAAAAATGGCTGATCACAAGCCTGGGGCAAGGAAAGTAGATCAGCCTAGAACATCTTATGCCAGAAAATAAAGATGGGGACATGGGAAAAGAATATAGGCTATAGCTTGATGGGAGTCTCACTGAGCAAATCTGGGACAGTTAAGTGTCAAAATTAATAGGACAGTAATGAATTATAACTCCTTGACAAATGAGGGAGATGAGGAAGCTTTTCCTTACATTAGAATACCAACTAATACACAGAGAAAGTATAATGAAATTAGGGGCGCGTGGGTGGCTCAGTTGGTTAAGCATCCCACTTCAGTGCAGGTCATGATCTCACAATTGGTGAGTTCAAGCTCCACATCAGGCTCTGTGCTGACATCACAGAGCCTGCTTGGGATTCTCTCTCTCCCTCTCTCTGTACCCCCCCCCCCAAATAAATAAATAAACTTAAAAACAAGAAAGTCTAATGAAATTAAAAAGTCACCATCTTGTAACCATATTAGTAAATAATTATCTCAGGCAAAAATCATCAGTACTTGCTAAAACCATTGTGTGAAAGTTTGATGAGGAATATGATATCTAGAATTCCAAAATATCCCTCTGCAAATTAGTCATTAAACAAAGGGGAAAATGCTAACTTGGCATTAGAGAAACCTGGCAGACCCACCTTCACCAAGTGTTGAGAATTAATATCACCAATATTGGGACAAGCTGATATAACGTGCCTCCTGGTATGATGTACCAAGGACCCACATCATATATGCTTATGCACTATCCCTGTCAAAATTCATAACTTGAATCTAATCATGGGGAAACATCGGACAAACCTAAAAGGAAGGACACACACCAGAATAACTGATTCAGATTCTTAAAAAATGGCAGTGTCAAGAAAGGCCAAGGAAGGAACAAGGAGGCATGACAGCTAAACACAGCACATGATCTTAGATTGGCTCCTGTATGGGAAAAAATTCTATGAAAGACATTATTGAGACAATTAGCAAACTTTGAATATAGTCTTTATATAAATAAATACATGGCACTATCAAAGTTCCTCATTTTGAACAATGTTCTTGGGCTATATAAGAAGCCTCTTCATTCTTAAGATACATGCTGAAGACTTTAACGATCAGTGGATATGGTATGTAGCTTAACCTCAAATGATTCAGAAAAAAAGAATGTGTAACATGCATGTATATGTATGCATACATAGAGAGAAAATGGTAATATAAGTATGGCAAAGTATAAACAACTGGTGAGCCTGGGGGTTCTTTGGATGATGATAGCCACTTTTCTGTAAATTCAAAATTATTTCAAAATTATCAGTTAAAAAAATTCCAGTGCCTCACCTCCACAGGTTCTCATCCGATGGTTTTGGGATGAGCCCCCAAGGCGTGCATGTTAATGCTAAGTTTCCCAGTTCTAATGGTCAGCCAGAGTTGATACTCTAAGGAGGCACTGGATCTGCAGTTGTTTCGTGTTCTCTTTAAAATGGGGAGACCTCAGGGGCGCCTGAGTGGCTCAG